TTTCATCATTTTCAGCAGGTGGAAGGTCACTGGGCTGCCACTTGACACAGCCATAGTTATCCGTTGGTCCTCTTGCCACTAGTGTGTTCCTTTCTGAGTCAGTAGATCTGTTCCTTCTCCCTTTTCTGTGATGTGCCACTGTCTTATTTCTGTTTACTGTAAGTGTTCAACTCGAACCTTGAGTTGAGATACAATTGTGGAATAAACGGCCCCTAATTCTCTTTTCCCGTCCTGCAGTGAATCAGCCAAACGTTTAGGGTTTAGCCTCACAATCTTCTGCGTAAAAATTAGGCAGAGGGATCTGGTAGGATTTAGGTCATATTTCCTCTTTTCATCAATCACAATACAGATGAGATTCTGGCGACCTGCAGGTGATGCCTTTTCTTTTTAGCCTCTGCCGATTGTAAAGCCACAGGAATCCTGTCCCAATTCGGTCCCATTTCTGCCTGTTGCCGGAGATGATCTGCAGCCATCAGGTGCTGGTGATGGTAAATCCTCTTGATGGTGGTCAGTTTTCCTTTCTTCAACTGCATTTTAAAATAAAAACACTGTTATTGCCCAGAGGAAGTTTATTTCTGTTGCATTGTATACATGTTATATAGGCATACAAGGCATAATTTTGCAATAACCTGGCAATTCAGAAGGCAAATTTACTCATGTTGTTACTTTTTATGTGAGAACTATATATTCTTAGTCAAAAAAAAAATCTTATGCTGATTTTGTCTTACGTTGTGATTTCCAGGCAGCAAGAAGCTTGCAACACTGAATGGGTGTAAGATGATCTAAAAGGTCCTCTTCATGTCACACCCCGCTCGTCCGAACCTCCTGTGTGTCATGCCCCCCTCGTTAACCTCGTGTGGAATCCCCGTGTTTACCTGCTGTTTCGAGTTGTTTTCATTAGTTTTGTGTATTTAAGTCCACGTCAGAGTATGTTTCTCTAGTCCTGTCATCGTATTGTTTCGACAGTGTTTCCCCCGCATGCCTCTCCATCTCCCCATTAAATCCCTTTTTACTCCAGCCTTTACGTCCTTTGCCTGCTTCCCCAGTTCGAGCTTGCCAGGATATAACACTTCAATTACAAACAGAAGGTCTATTTTATTTTCCACTCCTTGACTAATTAGTTACATAATAATCTTCTTTACAGTTTCAGCTGGAACATTTGGTGTGAGCTTTAAAAGCCGCCATTCATTAAGGTCGGAAATCTCCAAGGAGGTGTGATGGAGAACTATTAGTGACAGGTCAAACACTCTGTATTCAGGAAGAGGACTGTAGTCTACCAAGTCTTCTTGGTTAACATATGCCCAGTGTGGACTACTGTATGTGGCACAGAACTCAGACAGTGAACACCCTGATCAATAAAACACACAGAATTATAGTTTTCAGTAATTAAGTAAACATCCAGATTGTTCTGAGCAAGCACAAGCTCGATTCTGCCAAATATAACACTTTCATCCTCTTTGGGAATAATTACATACATGTTCTTTTTGTAAATTGTGCCCTTGAGAGTGACATCATGTGCCGCAAAAGTATTCTCAGGTTGGAAATTGAAAGTGGCAATTGACTGCTTTGTCTTTTCACAATAATCATCGTGGAAAAACTCTGTTGCCTTTAAAACTGAAGTAAATTGTGGAAAACAGCTCAAGTAGGCTTGTAAGAGATGGTGATGCTAGCATTCCACACAAATTCTTGAAATTCTGCAGCCTTCTTGAGTGTGGCATAAATTGAGTGCTTGCTCTCAAAACCTAAAGTGCAGAGACGTACTGTATTAGTGGACCAAGGTGAACAATCAGCCTGGGGTAGTGACATAAATAATGGTGCTGGGGCTTTGGGAGAAATCCAGGGGATTAGTACCTGCAAGAATGCTATTGATCAGTAGATATTTCTACAGCACAGAAAGTTTCATCCATCTGTCTGAGCTGTAAGATAAGCTGCCAGACCTCATTATCAGCAGACGAATCAATCTTGTTGCTAATGAGCAAGGGGAATAGCCTCAAAAAGGACCATTTCAGTGTATCTTTCCACTACCTGCAACTACTTCTGAAGGTTTGTCATTCCCGTCATTTCCAAGATACTGACATTGATTAATTCATTGATTCAAATCTAAATAAGTGAAATGTTTCCCTTCACCCACAATATAACTCATCAACACTAGATCAATAGACACTGCTCCTTCAAACAGGTCATGACCAAGGCCAGTTGGTAAACCAGACTGACAAACATGGAAATATGTACGTTTGTTAAAAACTGAGGCGCATTTCATCCCACGTTTTGTTTGTCCAGGCTATGTATTTTGTAAATGCATTTTGTATGACTCTCTTGTTCTTAATGGAGCCTTTGACAGTGATGAACACAAAAAAAAACGTGTCTCTGTTAATTTCACAAAACCGACACAAAATTTGATCTCTTCCTGAAATTTCCAAGAAACTATCCTCTGTTGTATCAGCCAAGATTGTCACCTGCAGTGAGACGCACACTGGCTCTGAACACAGCCCATCCATCAATTCCATTGTCCTCTAGGTCTTTGACATCTGTAATTAGTGCATGAATCACTAAATGCTAACCAAAGTATGCACAGTCTTTTTCTGTACAATGTAAGACTAGCTGCATATGATCAACACTTGATCGATTATGTGGAAGGACCTCAGCTAGAGTGAGATAAACACCCAGCGTCTTGTGTTTTTTCCTTTCAGAACCAAGTGGGTTGACATCTTCAAATGAGTTTTGGTAAAGAATCAGCGCTAAAGAATTAGCACAAGTTTGCAGCAGTGAATTTTCCTTGATCATCCTTCTATCCCATACATCCAGTAAAACATCCTAAGATGTGATATGGATATGGGATTTGCCATATTGTTCATTAAAGGTTTGACACAGAAAAAAAAGGATTTTAAAGTTTCCTTTATATGAACACAGTATACAAAGCACCCCTTCCCTATTTCATTTTGGCAGTGGTTGAATATATCTAAAGTTTTCCTTGAAATATGTCTTCTGTCTCTGGACAGTTTTTAATGTGTAATTAGTAGAAGTTCTGAAGAGATCTTCAGTTTGCAATGCAGTTTTATGAGTAACACACTCAGAAATTCTAATTATATATAACTTTTCTTTGATTTGCAAAATAAATGAGACTGATTTATATTACGTGAAATCCTTCTATTATTGTCTGAATGGTTGATGCTGGTAGAAGCAGTTTTGCTTGCAATTTTAAGTAAAAATGAGCTAAATCCTTTAGGAGTTCAGACTGATTTAATGTGCCTGGTAATTTTTCAAAAGGCTCACTGGTAAGTGGTTCATAGGAAAGACTGTCTCCTATTGAAGCAGATGCAGCTGATGTTCCTGTTGTGTAGACAAGAAGACGGACATTGACACGGCTCTGCTGTAAGTATCGCTGTTTTATTAATTCTCTCCACAGAGATTTCAGAGGTACTCGGGGCTGAGCCCGGAACCGCAGTCAAAACTCAGGCGGGGAGGATGGGTGATCGGCGTCGGTACAGATGGGGAAGAGGCGCAAAACACGGTCGGGAATCCAGGCAGAGGTCGGGCAGTTGCAAGAACATGGGGGTGTAGATATGATACATGCATACATGTGCTTTTGGTAACCCTGAATAGTCCAGCATGAAGGAGAACATCTCACTTAACCAGCTGAACAAGACTACAGACACACCCATGGTAATAAGCTCTCAGTTATTGTGTTGTTAGTACGACTCGTACCGGTGCAATAAAGGCCATCTAGTGGTCAAACCCGGAACTGACTCTGCATCCTCTACTGGTCTCAAGACGGCTGGGCAGCCCTCCTTTACTGTATAATTATAGGTCAAGTAAGTTTGTATCTATAAATGTAAGTGACAGGAAGCAAAGGTATTACTGAGTAAAAGTAACAAACTTCAAGAATACTCTTAAGATTTTGTTTGCAGCTTGTGTTGGATTCAAATGGTGACTGCATATGTTAAAAAAATCACTACATTTGTGAAATAATGTAGCAAGAGAATTAAATAAAATTGAAGCTGAAAAAAATCTCAGGAATCACTGCTAAGTTACTTATAAGCTAGTTTTTGTCGAAATGAAGATGGTCCTACATGTTTTAGAAAAGTCGGAGTTCAGAGATCCACAAGGGCCAAAGTGCATCAGCAGAACAAAGCTGCGGGTCCCCTGCTCACTGCACCACACTGCAGCCCCCCAGTGATTAAATACAACTGGATTCTGTTGCATTTTTGTGTATTTCAGTTGGTGATTATTGGTTTACTACCTGACATCCCAATTTTCCGTGTATTGCATTCTATAGGATTCTAGAAGAAAATAACAAAACTAATCTATGTGAAACCAGCCCAGTCTATTTCCATTAGAACATTTCTAATCAGTTAGTGCAAAAAGAACGTCAGGGGAAAATACCCGATAAACACCGCAACCACAATTTTGCAGATGCCCTAGTGGTGTTTCTGAAATAAAAGAACCGCTTTGAAGTTGAATATAATCTGTCTTAGTAAATGTATTTTATATAAATAGTTCTTTAATCTGTACACACATTTTTTAAACAGCTACTCTTGCTGAAAAAGGCCTATGATGATGAAGGCAGGAAATGTTACTCAGTATTGTCAGGGGTGCTTCAATGCACAGGCTTACCCGTGCTGATGCCCAGGGGCCTCTGCTAAAAAGGTGCTTCAGCTAACCTTGTTTAATTAAACCCATCCTGCATGTACCCCTGCTTAATACCGTGCGCCAGGCTGCAGCGCCCCCGTGCGACCCTAAGCAGTATAACCCGTCAGAAGGTTATAAGGATGGATGGATTAACCTATTAAGCGTTTTGCTGTATCTTTATTATTCTTTTTGTGATTATTTCAAGATATCCGTTTAATCAAATACTCACAGCAAAAGGGACGTATTTAATATATGTGGTATTAGAGTGTTTGCGAACACCTGTAAGTAGGAACTTACTGTTTACCTCGGCGTCTGTCATGCCACGTGACCCCCTGATGTCTCCTGCGTTCTCTGCGTTTACAAAAGAGCGACTCCACCGCGATAAGCAAGCAAGCGCTGCGCTTTACGCCGGTATGTATTATGATTTTGCATTTGGTACCTTGGCAGATCCGTCTTTATGAGACTTTTCTGTCACAGAATAATTTATATTAAATAAATAGTGGCGTTTTACAATAACGGCGCAACTGTAAATAATGACTACGGAGAATTTATTTTCATGCATATAAATTATTAAAGTGTTACAACTCCAGGATTACTGCAGCATGCAATATATTGTAACAACCACTATCTGGGTTATTGTCCCTAAATATAATAATTTGTTTGTAGCCTGTTACTACAGTGCAGAGTTTTTGCTATTATTTTCAGAGCGCAATGTATTATTTATCGCTGAGTGCGTCGCCTTAATTGTGTCCCGCCAGCAAAGAAGCTGACCTACTTTTCAATATTGCTTCTAATGAATGAGGCTGAGGCAGGATATTTATTTAAACTGGCTGTCCTACAAAACATTTGCTGTTTAGATACGATTATTCTTAAACGAAAGTTTTTGATGTTATAACTTTGCTTTGTAGCCTATTTGTTGTAAAGTTTTTCTTTACACATATAATTAGTTTTTAAACAATTAAAAAATGTATTTTAGTGTCGCATCCATTGCGACATCGTGACCACCGTTTAATAATAAAAACAATAAAGGAGCATATGTTCAGTTTGAAGTAAACGCAGTTTGATACGAGTATGTAAGCGGTGTTGATTAATAAAATCAGGCAGAAATTAATGCTAGCCGATCGGTTGTTTTTTTGAACTGCTGCATTGGGTTTTGTCTGCTGTGTGTCTGCGGTACTGATAGACGCCTTAAGTCGTTACATTTTGTTATGTTGATAAACAGTGTTTAAGAGGCACTTGAGAAAAAGCAGCATCCATCTGAAGCGTTAGGCTCCGGAAAATTATCCTGGAGAAATTAAAAATGTTAATTGTGGGTTTCAAGGAAATTGGGTTTTACCGCTGGTTTTCAGAATTTATCGAATGTCTTACACAGATATGTGGGAAAAAATAATTATAAAAAACGTACAAGCGCATTATTTTTCTATTATTAAATGACTGAAAAGCAAATTATTTTATTATAACCCTAACCCTAACTCTAACCCCCCAAAACCCTTACCTTAACCCTAACCCTAACCCCAAAAAGTATTTTATGACAGAACACCGGCACCCCTGTTTATAAATATGCATCAGTCTGAACAGTGTATGAATAATAGGCCAATACTTGTATAAAACGTATCTGGGTAATAGAATTGAGTCGTGTAATCCTGAAAAGCCACGGTATGATTTTTAGAAATCCAATTTTGCAGTTTATTATTTCAGAGGCGCGCATCCTAACATTTTCAGGCTTTTTTTTAGTTTTCATAGAAGCGTCGGAGCTAATGAAAATAACGAGTGGTCTTGAGAATAAAGACACTCTCACGGGGTATTTTATGAAAACGTCAACTACCATGCTGTGTGATCAATCTACCAGTGAAAAGAAAAAAAACGCTCTTTTTCTGACTTTTGAAAAATAAAATGTGTTTTGTGAAATTATACAATGCCTTTTCCTCGTAGTAGCTACCTGACTATGAGGGATATATTTTGAGGGGATATATTTGCATATATAAATGTATTGTGTTGATTTTTATAGCCTTCTTTTCCATCGAATGCTATTGAAATCTTCTTTCCAAATTTTGAATTTTATTGCAGACTTTCTCTTCACAACTTCACCTGCAATTTACTTTGAATAATGTAAGACATACAGTATAAAACATTTTGATAAAAGAACATTACTAAGGTATTAAATAAGATATCAATAGAAAACATATATACAGGCTTAATAAGTATCTGCAGCAAAAGTTTGGATTCTGGTTTGGGGTGGACTTAATTCCAGATTTACTTAAGTGTTGACATGAAGATCATGTTATGTTTTAAGGCATATATCATCTCGGGATATTTAATGTATTTATCCAGTTGCTGCCCCACGTACCTCTGCTTCTGACTGACCTCCAGCTGGGAGACGTGATGGTCTGTTGGTGTTTGTGTTCTTCATGAATTTGTGCCCCCATCATAATTAGTCACTTGTAGCTCCAAGATGTCTGTACCAGGAATAGCCAAGCCCTTATAATTGTGCAACTGCTTGAAGGATTAACAGCCTTCACTGACTAGACCGACTGAATAAGAAGGGGCCACCACTCCAATTACTTCACGATTCAGTTATTTTAATAGGGTGCATCAGTCAAACCACGTTCCCTTTTGCTGTATTACAGAATAAGTTAAATAATGAAGGAAATGTCATATAAAGACAGATTTAGTCATATAAACACAGATTTAGCTGTAAATGTTTGAAGATACTGAAACTAATACCTCTGTTATGGCGAGTGTAGCACAGAGCGGGGAAGCAGGCGAACGGAAGCCAGGGATCGGGGAATACGGCGTTTAATCCAAAACACAGAGAACAGTACAACGTAACATCACAACGTCAATGACCGGACTGGGGATACAAACAGGAACG